TTTTTTTTTTTTTACGAGAGCCTCGATTTCGAAAAGGAGCCCACTATACGAATTGGTAAGAAGGAAAATTTCAGAACTTTGGTCCTCCTGAAAGTCAAAAAAACTCCAATTCAAAAAAAAACATTGCAAGAAATTTTTTGCGGTTTTTAAAATGAAATTTTAGAATAATCAAATAATTTGAATTTTAATCAAGCAGTAATCACAATTCTCCATTAATTATTTAAATAATAATTAGAATTTTTCTGTCACTTTTTGTGGCACATATACTTTGGTACTAACTAAAGGTATGAAGTATGAAGTTGAAGTTGATACTAACTAAAGGTATGAAGTTTGTACTAACTAAGGGCCGAACGATTTGAAAATAACTGCCCGGTAACAACTGTGATCTTTGGAAAAATATCCAGAGGTTAAATTTACCGGGCTACTAAACCAGCCTTCATGAAGGAAAGGGGCTTTTAAAATTGTTCCGTCAAATCGAAGTCAAAACCCCTTCCAGACGCTCACTCTTTGTGAGAGGGGGAGGCATTCGGCAATATTCGAAGGATATTCCGACGGATATTTCTGGTAATTTCGTATCACGAGGGAGTTAAAAAAGGTGACAGGGCCGACAAAGAAAGGCGATAATTTGTTTTCGGCATAAGCTAATAAAATTTTTCCCTTGAAAACGAATGACAGAATTCGAGGGCATCGCATCGCACAGCGAAAGCAAGTAGTAATTGAGGGGAAATTGAGTGGCCTCTTTAATGCGTTGTCAAATTTTAAAATTGAATAAAATTTCGATTGTTCGGACGCTAACTGGTACCAGTTTTGTAGGTAGTCGTAGTAGTGGTAGTGCTAGCGGGGCTGGAATCGGAGACGTTTTGTGAAAAGATCGGAGGTATAACTACAGCAGCTGGTTGGCGTCCTTCGGAAACACTTCGATGTTTTTGTTCCTGTTCGTGATGTTGCTGCTGGAAAGCTTTTTCAATCTGTTGCTGTTCATTCGCTGTTGCATATTTTCCTGAAAAATCAAGTTTTTAATAACAATTAATTAATAAAAATTATAGTGCACAACGAATTTTATAATCGACAATTTTTTGGCCAAATTTTGCGACTGATTATTTGAAAATATAGGAATGCGCACCATGATGTGCAGATTTGCTGGCATCCACTGACTCCCAGGAATGATGATGGAGATGAGATGATTCAGTGTGGCGGGCAATTGTACGTGGTTTGTTCGCCTCCTCCTCCGCGGCAATCGCATTCTTGTAACTTTCAAGTGCTACATCTTGAAAAAGAAGAAGCGTTAAAGCGTAATTTTTAATTCGTAAAACGTTGCCCTTTGCAGTAAATGACAGTTGTTAAGTACAGGATTCTAAAAATTCGTGACATCTAGTGCAGGATTCTACTAATCCGAGTTTAGCCCATGATGCTGTCAAAAATCCTAGTCAAAGCCCCAAAATTTTAAAACTTTTCGCCACCCTCCATGAACGGCAAAAATATTCAGAGGTAATCCGAATAGTAATAAATTACCAGCACCTGTCAACGGGTCTGCTGGGTAGACCCATTTTTCTAGTGCCTAGAAGCAAACTAACGGCGATTATGACTTTCGTCAGTGCCCCAGTACCAATTTGCCACCGAAATGAATCAGTGAGGCATAGAAGAC